ATTCCCAGAAGTGCCAGTGGCCGTGTGAGCCTGGGTGAGTTAAAATTCATATTATTGAGCCCATGCATGTCCCTTCATGACACTGGTTCATGAAACTCACTGGGAACGCTGGGAAAGGTGACTGACTGAAGTCTGTGTATTGGATTTTCTTAGTTATTCAGATCACCTGCTCAATAATGCCCTTTAGATAGGTATTTACGTGAAAAGCATTTATATTCACTCTTCGTAAATTTTTGAAATGTCCACACATAGCTCTTCCAAAATATTCTTCTAAGACGTGATAATCAGTTCAAATCAGTAATCAATGTTATTAAATTGCTTATATCTCTGAACAGTGACCATCAGATATAACCCATAAAGTTAACCCACTGTTTGATTTTCATTCTTCCTAGACTGTGGCAGAGATGTGACATCGCTTTAGCATCCATTGTTAGAACTTCATCCAGCATTGCATAATTTTGGATGTACATATAATAGGGACTCTCACACAATTCAATTACTTAATCTTTAATATTAGGCAAAATTATCCCAATTCATATTTTTTGCACCTCCACTGAGTTAGAAAAATATGCATAGATGTGCACACCCAGGTGGTGATTGTTTTGGAAATAAAGATTACAAAGAAAATTTTTGTAGCCTGAGCAGGTACTATGTCTACCTCTGGACACCAATTTTTTTGATAGGAAGAATAATCTTTATATATTGAATATATGTAATTATATTATATGTTTGCATATGTTCCACATGTAAAATAAACTTACTGGTTAGATAACATTATTTAATTTAATAATTTTAAATTATTAAACCTTATTAAATAAACATATGTATAATTAAAAACACTTATTTAACCTTATAGGTTAAATAACCTTATTGAGACATAAATATATGTTCATATAACTACAAGCAGACAACTTATCAAATAAATGTATATGAACCTATGTGAGTGTGTTATATACATATCTGTGCATTTTTCATAAATGAGGTAAACTTTACTATTTTTATTCAAATATTATTTAGTTTAATTTCTTTTTAAATTTCATCTTAATATCTTTATAATATATTACTAAGTATTCATATTTATTCCATCAATTCCAATAAAATACGTCTATCCAAAGAATAAATGTGTAAATATTTTATTGGTCAACTTATGTACAATGATTGGTAACCAACTACTTAATAGTAAAGAATTTTCACATCAAGAAAAAAATGATACATCCACATTTAGACTTTTTTCTTGTCTTGGGGTATTTTTGTAATAAAAAAGGAAAAAATATTCGTTTGTCTGTCAAGAGATTGTTATGAATTTCATTTCTTCACTTTCTGCTTAGTCTATTATGGAATGAAGTATTTTTCTACGATCCCTCACTTACTGGTAATACTTGGAAGCACATTTAAGTGTACTCTCGTCCATCCCTAACTGCCAAATTCTGAGACTGAGGACAATAGTGACCTTGATGGGTGTATTAGTCCATTTTCCATTGCTCATAACTGAATACTTGAAACTGGGTAATTTATAAAGTAATGAGATTTATTTCTTAAGGTTCCGAACCCTGGGAAGTCCACTGTCCAGTGGGCACATCTGGTGAGGGAGTTCTTTGTGGGAACTCAGTGGTGACACAGGGTATCACATAGTCAGAGTGACAGGAGAGTCTTCATGTGTTCTTATAAAGCCATCAGTCCACACCCAGATAACCCACTAAAACATTAACTCATTACCCCATCAATGGATTAATTCAATCATGAGAACATGATTATATGTATAAATTACATATATCCATATGGGTGGATGTGTAAATACTACATTGGTCAGTTTTTGCACATAATGGTTGGTAACCAACCACTTAAAAGTCAGTGTCTTCTAACCGTATTTGTTTTCATTTTCATTTGAACAATCATCTGGCTGATCAAGGCACGGTGGTTCTGCTGCAGGGCTGAGCTTGTCCCCAGCCCATGGACTGGTTATCCTGAGGCCAAAGGTGAAGGACAGTGACTAACAAGAGCACAACATTCTCATGGCAGGTGCAGGAGTGAATGACACCCCCAACCTGAGCTATACGGGCAAAATTAAGTCTCATTATTTCTATCACAGGTGCACATGATTTAGATTTATTCTTTCACCATTGTAATTCCTAACATTTTAAAAACCTTCACTTAACTTTCAAGGTATTTTATCATTCCATGGAAAAATAATTTTAATTTTCAAACTTTAAAATCTTAAGAAATATTTTCAAATGTATTCTGCATGAATTCGAAAATAATGGTGCACTGTAGTAATAGGCATCTATATTATTATTGTTATTAAGAATAATAATCTTAAAGATTATAAACAATAATTTATTGTATGTCCTCAAATGGCTAGAAGAGTGGTGTTCAAATGTTCTCATCACAAGGAAATGATAAATTTTTGCAATGATGAATGTGCTAAATACTCTAATTTGATCATTACATATTATATACATATATAGAAATATAACTCTGTACCCCATAAATATGAACAATCAATAGGTTTCAAATAAAAAATAAATAAATTCCTTAAATATAATCTTGGGTGTGTTTTCAACATGTGGTTTATATTGAATTTTTCTAAAATGGCCTCCAAGGAATTAATAAATAAACCTCTTTAGGTGAAGTATACGTCCCATACAACATAGTTTCTTAAGCCTTCTACAGATCCCCTATCATCTTGTTAAAATGTAGATGGTCACTCAGCAGGTCTAAGGTTGATCTGCTGCTTTGCATTTGTAACGTGATCTCAGTGATGCTGGTGATGCTGCTGGACATACGTTGAGTATCAAGTATTTTTATATTGAGGAAAAAGAATGTTACATCCCTGTTTGGGATTTGGGGGAGGTCAAAACTGCTTTTTATTTGTTTGTCTAACAATTGTTATACATTCCATGCAATTTCCTCATTTCTCTGTTTACTCTATGACTTAAAGTTTTCTTGCTACGATCCCACACTTGCTATTAATACTGGGAAGAATGTCCAAGTGTATTCTAGCTCCATCCCTGTTAGGCAAAATTCTGAGGTTTTGGGAAATAGTGACAACACTGGCATGACAACTGTCAAGTACTGTCCTCATCACTTCCAGAAGCACAAATCTAAGAACCTTTCTTCCATTTGTGTTTTCTGTAGAGTTACTCAGTGAGGGGATGTCCATGAGATTAGGAAATCAGAAAGGGAGGCTTCAGTTCTTTCCACCAGCACCTACGCAGACAGGTGGACAGAGGTGAGGACTGGAGGGTCACCTGGTGAGGTGCTGCAGGCAGCGGAGAGTAACAGCACCCCACCACTGGGATTGCCAGTCAGGTCTGAGGACCACATGGTTAGGCAGCCTGTGCCTTCTGTGGCAGACTTGCTCTGCTTGTAGAGCAGCACCAGAGAATCCCCTATTCCTAGTATCTGCTTCCCTCACCGTCACACTCAAGTTTTGAAAGGCTGTAGTGTCTACTCTAATTCTCTCTATTAAAATGATTCCTGCTTAGAATGTCTAGAATGGCTTTTCTTTTGATGCATGAGTAAATATCAACATATGGCTGAACCCAACTTCTCAGGTGTGATAATATCTCTACATTATTAAATCAGAAGATGCACTGTCATGTCTGTTTTCAGGTAGAGGAAGATGGTTATAATGCAGAGGAGCTAACTTGGTTCCTTCTGTTAAAATCTAAATGTGACCTACAAAGCTTGGCTGCAGCTGAGAAATGACCACAGCAAATGGAGCAATCAGGAGAAGCAGATGGGGCAGCCCAGCCTCACACATCTGCATCTCTGGGAGTTTATGTTATGACTTGTATCACTGTGGGAGGAGTACTACCATACTGTTGACAGTAATAAATTGCAACATCTTCAGACTCCAGGCTGCTGATGGTGAGAAAATAATCTGTCCCAGATCCACTGCCACTGAACCTTGATGAGACCCCAGTGTGCAAATTGGATGCACCATAGATCAGAAGCTTAGGAGCTTTCCCTGGTTTCTGCTGATACCATGCTAAAGCACCGTAAATATCCTCACTGGCTTGACAAGTTATGGTGACTCTGTCTCCTAGAGATGCAGACAGGGATGATGGAGACTGTGTCATCTGGATGTCACATCTGGCACCTGAGATGGGAAAAGTAAAAATCAAATATCCACATGATTAATCATGTTACAGGAGGACTTCCTTAAAGAACCAGGTGGTACTGATCACACTGAATTGAGTAAATTCCTAGTGTTCTTTCTTACCTGGGAGCCAGAGCAGCAGGAACCCCAGGAGCTGAGCAGGGGCCCTCATGTCCATGCTGTGTCCTGACTGGAACTGACAGCTGCACAGGGTGTGCCCTGCCTAAGAATATCTTCAGGGAAGTGGGCAGTGTTCTGAGGACATGCAAATCACAAGGGGTGGGACAGGGCTGGGCACAGCTGCAGGGTGGGCTCAGGACTGATGTCCCCAGGTGTGCCTTGTAAAACCGGGGCAGCACAGATTTTCCTGCAGAGAAAGTGTTCCTTTCCTGGGGGTACATGTTGTTACAAAAGACACTTTGGGGACAATTGTAAAAACCTGAGTTGACTTGGGGACTTGGCAG